TATCGAATATTGACTATCAAGAATAAAAATACAAACAAGGTTGAAGGGAGGATGATTTATGAGTAAGCAAGATGAAAATAGTGTATAAAGCTCAAAATGATAATCTCTCAATATGGAGCATATGCACAATATCTGAGTTATGGTGTCTTAATATCTCAATGCCCCCTTACAGAGATAATAGCCATCCCTCTTATAGTGGGAGATCCTACTTTAGATATAATTAAAAATACATAGTGGGGAACCATGATAAATCAACTTTCCCATTTTCCCTGCCGAGATTCTCTCCTTTAGTGCGGTTGTAATGACTCTTGTCTATAGGCTCGACATTGACTTAAGCTCGATACTGAATCGAGCTCGATATTGATTCGAGCTCGATTTTGACTCGGGGCCCGGTATTGATTCGAGCTCAGTATTGGTCGGTCTTTGGCTCTCGAGCTCGATAACGTTGCTTCGCATCATGGTTCGATTTGACTTCGAGCTCGGTATTGATCGGTCCCTAAAACTTGAAGCTAGGTAACCCGGCTTCTGATCTTATCCCAAAATTATGAAGACGCTCTTCGGTCCATTATGTTCCCATCTTGACCAGTCGTACGAAGGCCGAAATCGGTTCCGACCATATACAAGTTATTTGGTATTGACGGCAAAAATCAATGATAACAGGGTCGAGAGGACCTAACGTGAAAGGGTAAGTATACACACTTAAAAACCCTTTCACATGAGTAGTAATATCTTCTTCGGGAGACGGGATTACCACTCTCTTTGTTCTCCTAGTTGCAATCTTTCCTTATCCGTTCGAGATGCCCCTCGATTATCGAACACAGATACCTCGATACTGGCTCGCATCGGCCGAGAACCGACGAGTCTTTGTCGACCTTAAAATCGGAGGTAAGAACACACGCCCCGGGAACACACTCCTCAGGTTGTGGCTCCATCGGTGTTTTGTCGGCGGCATGCTATGAAGAAGAAGCTTTTTCTTTTTGAGGAACGGTTTTTGATGTTTTCACCATTTTGGTTTTGAAGATCGAGAATAGAAATAGATGACAAAGATGTGGTGTTTTGAAGAAAGGTTTTGCAGTGAAAATCAGAAGGAAGATTTTGCAATAAAAATCACAGGCTTGCAGATAAACTCAGAAGATGCGAGAAAGAGCTTAGAAAATTGGGAAACTGGAGATGTAAAAGTGATGAATGGTAAAAAGAGAGGCTATTTATAGATTAGGGAATGACGGTTCAATATCACCAGTGGCTGACCACCGTCTGACACGCATTTAATGCCCTGGTAAACGGAACCGACGGGACAACTATCACGTAGTCATGGCCGGGTTCGATGCAAACGTCAGTGTATATCTAATCGAGCCATTGGGAAATCATATCGTTTCTCGCCACATCCTTTCCGAGAAACGAGGGGACTATCTGTATACGGTCGAAACCGATTTCGGCCTTCGTACGACTGGTCGAGATGGGAACATAATGGACCGAAGAGCGTCTTCATAATTTCGTGATAAGATTAGAAGCCGTGTTACCTAGCTTCAAGTTTTAGGGACCGATCAATACCGAGCTCGAAGTCATTATCGAGCTCGAGTCCAAATCGAACCATGATGCGAAGCAACGTTATCGAGCTCGAGATCCAAAGACCGACCAATGCTGAGCCCGAATCAATACCGGGCCCCGAGTCAAAATCGAGCTCGAATCAATATCGAGCTCGAATCAGTATCGAGCTTAAGTCAATATCGAGCCTATAGACAAGAGCCGTTACGGCCGCACTAAAGGAGAGAATCTCGGCAGGAAAAAAGGAAAAGTTGATTTATCATGGTTCCCTACTATGTATTTTTAATTATATCTAAAGTAAGATCCTCCACTATAAAGGGGATGATTATTATCTCTGTAAGGGGGCATTGAGACATTAAGACAACATAACTCAGATACTGTGCATATGCTCCATATTGAGAGATTATCATTTTGAGCTTTATACACTATTTTCATCTTGCTTACTCATAGATCATCCTCCCTTCAACCTTGTTTGTATTTTCATTCTTGATAGTCAATATTCGATATTTTCGCTTATACGATTTGCGTCAAGTTATACTGCGTACCCTTAGAACTATGTATAAATTCAACTCTATCCGTTTTTCGGGTAAACAATACATAATCATCTTTCATAGCATGTAATGGGGTGGGTACTGATTGTAATGAGAGTGATAGTGACTTTGAAGATGTGTCTAAGTGTCCCGTGTATGACTCTGAAGAGTTTGAGTCCATTGCTACTCAAAAGAAAATGAATGTTACAGATGGTTTTCATGAGTACAAAGAGTTATTTAAGAGTATGTCACTCAAAAGCATACCTGAAGCAAGGAAGATTATAAAACTGTATGCTTTAGCTAACAAGGTTGAGTTAACTGTAGAAAAAAGTGACAAGGAGAGACTGAGGTACAAATGTGGTGTAGGTTGTCCATTTGTCTGTCATATTTCTGTGGATGGTCATTCTCCCGGGGTGAGAATCAAAACACTAAGGTCTGAACATAAATGTGATACCTCATATGACAATTCTAGGGTTGATTACTCTACCATAGCTCATTATTTTAAGAGAAAGTTGCAAGATAATCCAAAGTATAAAGTGAAGGAAATGAGAGCTGATTTGCAAACTGCTTTTGAGTTAAATGCTAGTCAAGGGAAGTGCATGAGAGCTAAAAGGATGATTTCAGAGACTTTAGAGGATAGCTTTACTGATGGTTATAACAAACTAGAGGCTTATGCCAATGAACTTAGACAGTTAAATACAGGAAGTGATGTTGTGATAAATGTGTCTAAGGAGGCACTTGCTCAAGGTAGAAGAAAGTTCCTTAGAATGTACATCCTCTTTAATGCAATGAAGATGGGATTTAAACAAGGCTTGAGACCCTTTATTGGATTAGATGGAACATTTCTTAAAGGAAAAACCAAGGGATAATTACTGGTGGCTGTTGGTCAAGATTGTAAGAACCACTTCTACCCTTTGGCTTGGGCAGTAGTAGATAAAGAGAACAAAAGGACCTGGAATTGGTTTTTGGTGCTGCTGCAGCATTCACTGAAGCTCCAAATAGGAGAAGGCATAACCTTCATTCAGACATGCAGAAAGTAATCTTGGTTCTTTCTTACTTTAATTCTGTCTTTATCTCTTACTTTATGATTTTTCTTGTATGTAAGTGTTTAATAGGTTGCCTTTCACATGCAGGGATTCATTGATGCAGTCAAAACTGTACTACCTGAAGCACACCATAGATTCTGTGTGACACATGTAGAGACAATCTGGTGCAAAAGATGGAGTAAAAGAGAGCTGAAGAAACTATTGTGGTGGAATGCATGGTCTACTTATGAGGAGGAGTTCATAGACCATGTGAAGGAGATAGGACAACTTGTTGAACCTGCTGCAAAGGACTTGATGAGGTATCCTCCACAGAGTTGGTGTAGAGCCTTCTTTGAGAGAGTGTGTAAGAATCAAGCAATGGACAACAATCTTACAGAGTCATTCAATGCATGGATACTTGAAGATAGGTACAAGCCTATTATTGGGATGCTGGAGGGTATAAGGACCAAAATTGATGAACAGATTGAGAGAACAAGATTCTGTGATGCAATGGAGTGGCCAGTTTAGTCCTAAATCCCTCAAATTGTACACTGAATATTTGAAGATAGCTCATGCTAATGGATATGAGATATCAGAAAAGGGAGACAAACACATTGTCAATATGGTCATGAAGAATTGTACTTGCAGGGTGTGGGACTTCACTGAATTCCATGCCCACATGCAATTAAAGCCTTGATGACAGCAAAGTTTGATCCACTATCTGAAATGCATTGGTTTCATATCAAGGAAGCATTCCTGCTCACCTACAAACATAAGTTGCACCATGTAAAGGGTGAAAAATTCTGGAAAGTTGACCCTTCTCAAGCAATGGAAGTCTGTCAATTTGGAAGGCCTAAGGTTAAGAGAGATAGACAGAAAGATGAGGCACTTAAGAGGCAGGGAGAATGGAGTGTTTCTAGGAAAGGTAGAGTGATGCATTGTGGCAATTGTGGAGAGCCAAATCACAATGCTAGGGGTTGTGTCAAGGTAACGTTAAACACATAAATTTCATATACATTTTTAAAGCTTTTAGTAACTTATTATTATTCTATGTTACAGGAAAAAAAGGGAAAGGTGGTACCTAAAGAAACACAAAAGCAGCCTGTGAGGGGTTTAGTTGATGAAGATGATGATGGTCTAATTTTGATCAAGTTTTGTGTTGGAAGTCAAGGTCCAGACTTTGAACACCCCTACTTTGGTGATAAATCATACCCTTCTTTAAGGCCTAAGGTCATCTCAGAAGAATTGACCAGACTCCAAGCTAGGCAGTAGACAATTATACCAAGTGGGAAAAGACAAAGGTGACCATGCAGGAATGTCTAATGCCAGCAAATCTTCCATACCCCCCAGACAACTTAACTTGGAAGGGCAAAGCTGTTATGACCACAAATCAGCTGGAAGTTGAATGTCAGAAGAGGATTGGGAAGAAACCAAGAAAGGGACAGTATCAGTAGCTGGACTGCAATTACTGCTTATGACAGTTTTGTTTAGTTAACTTTGGTGATTTATTAACTGCTTATGACAATACTCTTATGGCAGTACTTCTGTCTTTGTTTTGTATTGACTTGAGGTGCAAAAATCTGCAGTTTATCACTTGTATCATTGACTGATATTGTGTTGAATTGAAGTGCAAAAATCTGCAGTTTATCACTTGTATCAGATTCTGATATTTTGTGTCTGATTGAAGTATAAAAATCTGCGGACTTGTATCAGATTCTGGCGGGTTTTTTATGCAGATTCTGGACTGTTTTTTTATGTACAAAAATTCTGGACTGTTTTTTATGCAAACATAATTTTGTGCGCAAAATTCCGCAAATTTTGCTGCAGTTTTATAAGAATAGTTACACATGGATTTCTGTTGGTTTTAGTCAGCCTAAATCAGTGTGGTAAGAAGTCAAAAAAGAGATGAAATCAGTAGACTAACTTACAATTTCATTACAAATAACATAATACAACCTAATATGCAAGACAAACTACATTAACAAGAGAAAGAAAATTCAATCAAGCAACAGTACTAAGACTTCAGACTTGATACAAACTAACTACGTTACTTCATCAACAATGCGGCCACAAATCCAACAAACAATGCACAAGAAGCCAGAAAACACATCTTCATCTTCCTCAATTTCTCTTCTAAGTCTCTTGACTTGATCACTTGATAATTGTTTATAGCCTCCATAATATTCACCTTTTCCTTTAAGTTGACTCTTTCAATCTTAACAGCATCCAATGCCGAACTCAAATTACTGACTTTAACTGTAGCCACGTCCAACTGAGCCTTAATATTGCTTATTACCACCAACGCTCTATCCGGGAGTACTTCGTCGTGCCACTCCCAATACCCACAAGAATCAACCTGTCCGAACTAATCAAAAAAAGAACTTCAAATTTACAGCCATTATAAAAAGAAGTTAACTGATTTGTTTTAAGAATATCTAACAATTATGCACATTCAATAATAAAACTTACATCACGTTTAGGACACTTATAGAATCTTCTTCCTGGATTAAGGATTGTTGTTGAAGTGAAAGTGGGCAATTTCACTGCAATGACAGCTCCACTTGGACAAGTTACTACTTTCAGACATTCTAAATTCCTTTTCGGATTAAAATTAAGACTTACCTACAACTAAAATAAATAAGATAAGAGAGACTTAAGATTCACATAATCTATTGAAGAACCCAAAAATTGAAATAAGAACCCAAAGTAGCCTTTTTTGCTGAACAAGAATTACGGCGGATTGGGGGTATTTTTTATGTTTGAGATTTGTTTTAAGTTATTGGGTAGGTTTGGATCGGGCAGTGGGTTAGTTGTAAATAAATCGGGTAAAGAAAGGGGACATGTTATTTGTTCTTGTGTTGACACGTAGAGGACCGTCCAAACGAGGGATATTTATAAATAATAGTATGACGGTAGGGATTGAGGTGGCCAAATAATATAACGGGGGGCTTTTTTAAACCATTTTTGATAGTACAGGGATATATAAGACTCTTTTCCGTTTTTGGAATGATAAAATTGTTCCATTGGCATTGTCTAGGAATGTTTTTGACCCTTTGTGCAAAATTAAAAAATTAAAATAATTATGAAAAAAACAATATTCATCCCTAAATGAAGAATTTTTTCCTTTTTTGATTAAAAAAACCTTTTACCAAAAAATGACTATATATTAAACTCCGTTTGATAAGTGTTAGGGATTGGTGCATACTAGTGTCACTCAAACCGAGTCTGATTCTATTCACAGTCATATCCCGAGAAAGTTCTTGGTATCTTCTAATTTTCAACTGCTTCACCTATCATTAATATACATCTATTCTATTCATTGCCATTGACTTTGCTTTCAATATAGAAATCAGGCAGCAGAGCAAGTCAGCCAATTTAGAGACAATACAATAATGGAGGACACCACCAATGACTCTCCCCTTGTAAAAGGGGTAGTAATAATCACACTACCACCTCTTGATAATCCTTCTTTAGGCAAAACCATAACTGCATTTACACTCTCTGATTATTCACCACCCCAACACCAACAACAACAAGAACCACCACAACAAAGTCAATCTTCAGTTCCACAGCAAGATTCAACCACTGGCTTTTTTCATGTTTCTTTACAAAGATCGTTCCTTTTTCGCCCAAGAATCGTTCTTGGACTTTTGGGTATCTCTATAATTGCTTTATCATTCTGGTCTTCACTTTCACAAGAGACCTTTCTTGAATTAAGAGATGTGGACCGTGATGATCATAAGAGTTCCAACAGTTCTTTTATTCTTCCTTTGTATCCTAAGCGTGGTAGTGGGTGGAATTCAAGGACAGATGTTGAGATCAAACTTGGGAGGTTTGTGGATTTTAAACCTGATATCGTTACGGAGCTGGTCAGTGATCACGAAAAGATTGCAAAATCTGTGTCTGCTGCTACTAAATTAGACTCTTCTACTAATTTTCCAGCCAAGGGTAATATTCATTTGGATGGGTACGTACGTCTGATTGAAGTATATTTGATACTGATTTTAACTTGTTCCTGTATTTTATTTCATGATAATTTCTGAAATCATTGACTATTCCTCAATCTCAAACTAATTGGGGGTGCATTATGTGAATTTTTGATATCCATTGCATTGGTCCTTTACATATTTAGAGGAATATCATACAATTTTGACTATATGGTAATATAAGTTGTTCACTCCACTTCATAGTAAGAGGTTCTCACTTTTTCCTAAATAATCCTATGTTCTTCGAGGGTAAAATTGGCTGCAACCAATAACAAATACTAGCTTTGAAACTTTATGATTCCATGTAGAGAATTATCAGTTTGAAAAAGCAACTGCTGATTTCATTTTGCATTCTCATATATCTTCATTCACCTTATTGGAGTGCAGCCTCCTAACCCTCTTAAATTGCTTTCTTACCCTAACCATCTTATTGTGGAGGACAGTTATTATGTCGTTTTCATCCTCCTAAACTGAATAATTCACTACCTCGTTTCCCGTACAATTAACAACTGATGTATAAATAATTTCAAGCTTTTCTACTGTTAATCAAATACTTCAGCGTTCCCAGTCCATGTACGCTACAATTTGATGCCATAGCCCAAGTTCATGTAGTGTTGAAAGTTGCAGACTTTCTTTGCATAAGGTGAATATGAACATGTATCATAATAACTCCTTGCTAACTGCACTAATAGTAGTTAATTTCATTAGAATGGTAAATGCATTATGAACCATAATTTGAAATCTTGAGAAGACAGCATTATGGACCAGTAATGCAGTTACTCCACAACTCTGAGAGAAATGTAATCATATGGAAGGCCAAACTTGAACTTACAGCAATTGAAGCAATGACCGGATAAGGATCTGGGGCCTCATATAATTTCTGGTAAATGTTAAGAAAAGCATTTTCCCCGTACTTGGCTCTCTTGGTGAGATTGTCAACCTCTTCTTGGTATCCCTTGAGCAAAGAGTTGAACAAGCTGAACTTGTCTTCATTTGAAGCTTTTCTAAAATCTGCCAAGAGGTGGTAGAAAGAGCTTAAATAAAAGTCGAAGTAAGGGTAAATGACGACTAATGGTAGTTAAATAAGCGAATGGAAAGGTGCATCTAGCACCTCGAGTGCTCTCTGCAAGTTTTCGTCGGTTCTTCTGACTGTTCTCCTGATTTTCAGCTATCCTAAGACCTTGTTCATCCAGTGTACTCCTTTCTTTCTCCAAATCAAAGTCTGTAAAAAAAAAAACAAGCAAATGCGTCTTAAATTGTGCATAAAAAGTTAGCTTTTCTTAGACAAGATAAAAGATATCATGGGATATAGGGATGAATAAATTTATCCACAAACCAAGTCTTTTAAACAAGTAAAGTTCTAGGCTAGCAACACAACTGTAAAGGATTAAGTCAATAAGAATTCATGAAAAATGTACCACAAATAAAATTAAAAGGTCACAAAGAGCCACGTAAGCAGATTGAGCTGTATTCTCCATTACCCCACAGTTTTACCTCATCTCATCCAAACGGAAAAATCTAAATTAGTTAGAATACTGTCAGAGGCAGGTGTTCTTCATGATCAATCACGCCATCAAGACACAACAAAACACATTAGCAAAGCCAACCAGGAAAATGAAGACATTGTAAACACAGCCATGCAGTTTCCTTGCATTCTAAAGCTCAGCTACTTCACTAATACTAAGTGTCTTAAAAGACTGGGAGAGTTTTCATTTTATTGGGTTTTTATTAAGCGGCTTTTTTTTTAATAACTTGACTATTCCACCGAGTACCTGCTGCCTCCCACTGGCACAGGTACCGGTAATTCTGCCCAGTAAGGCTTGGACATATGAAAAGAAATTAGCTAGTTTCTTTTGGCATTTGAACCTGAGACCTCATGGTTTTCCCGCCACTTTGACCACTAGACTACATCTTTGGTGCAAAGAAAAGGAAAATAAAGGTTACACCAGCCGGGATTAAGCTGGTTTATTCAAGTAGTCTAATAAAAGGTTTATAATCATATTGGCAACAAAAATATTTGAGGCTCGCATCGTACTTCGTGGTCTTCTTGTGTGTTTTGCATCTCAAATTATATGCCACTTCATATAAATTAATACGACGGAAACTGCTACTCCTGCTTGTAATCATTAATCATTAGGATTTGATAATTACAGTAAAAAAGAAAGTACCTTTCCAGAAGCTGGCGACAGCAGCAAGAGGAGTAGAAGACGTTGTTGACTACCCCTTTTCTCTCTCCGGTCCTACTCGCGGGGAATCCATTGTTGATCCACCACAAATTCAGCTTTTTTGCTCTAACAAAAACTTCAATCTTCTCTTCCAATACGGAGCGAATGTTATGAAATGCTAGTTCTACTAGTTTTTTGATAGATCACAGATCTCGAACTTTCATAATCTGTGGTTCCTTCAGAATTATTTTTGTTGTACTCATAACAGAGGGAGACAGGAGTTAACGAAGAAACGGGTCCGGGTCTCCCACATTTGCTATTCGGGTCTTTTTACCACGCCCTTTTAAATTGTTTTAAAAAAATTATGGGAATTAAAATAACATCGAATAATTTAGTTTGTGTTATAAAATAAAGACTGTAAAGTAAATAAATCGAAGACAAATATAGAGTGAGATTTATATTTTCATTCAACTTCAAAATTGATGTACATAGTGAACTGAAAACTCCTCTATTTATAGAAGAAAGGAAGCAGTTGCGAGACTTTTCTTGAGCTGCTTATAAGGTGTCTGCATGAGCTGCTTGCAACCTGCATGTTTAATAAGAAGCTGCTGCAAATCATTTCATTGAGTTGCTTGCAACCTGCCTGCATCAACTGCTTGTAGATAAACTTCAATAGAGTACCAAACGGATAATCTTCTTTAGGAAGATTATCTATAGCGGAGTAATAAATGGACATCCATATTTATAATTATTTTCATAATACTCCTCCTTGGATGTTCATCGAAAGATATTGTGCCTCGTTAAAACCTTATTAGGAAAAATTCAGTGGAAAAAATCCTAGTGAAGGAAAAAGAATACACATATTTAGTAATACGCAATTCTAGCTACCTCATTAAAAACCTTACAAGAAAAACCCTATTGGAAAAACTTTAGTAAGGAAAAAAGAGTACAATGCGTATTTCACCCCCTGATAAAAACCTTGTTCTAAATATTTGAGTCTCCGCATATCAATCTTGTATACCATCTTCTCAAAAGTTGAAGTTGGCAAACATTTAGTGGACAAATCTGCTGGATTGTCACTTGAACGGATTTGTTACACATCGATGTCACCAATTTTCTGAAGATCATGTGTGTAGAATAATTTTGGTAAAATGTGCTTTGTTTTATCTCCTTTTATAAATCCTCCCTTTAATTGGTCTATGCATGCAACATTGTCTTCGTATAATATTGTGGTTTTTTTTATCACATTCCAACCCACATTTTTCTCGAATAAAATGAATCACGGATCTCAACCACACGCATTCCCTATTTGCTTCATGAATAACTATTATCTCATCATGATTTGAAGAAGCAACACCAATAGATTGTTTTGTGAAGCAACATGATATGACAATACATCCACATGTAAACATATACCCGATTTGAGATCGAACTTTATGGGGATCAGATAAATAACCTGTATGTGCATAACCAATATGATCTTCACCACCTTTGTTAGCATTAACAAGATATACAAGTGCACCAATTGCACTGAGATAGAGTATTTCAGGACCAAGGAGTTCCTCATCCTCTTCTGGAGGTCAGAGCGGATCCTTATTCACTTCAAGTGATCGAACACCCATTTGGTGTACTTAATGGGTGCGCTTTGTCCATGTAAAAGCATTTAAGGATATTTTCTGTATAGACAGATTGATGGATAAAGATCCTGTCTACTAAATATTCAATTTGCAGTCTTCTGGAGTTCCTATGAGATTTATGTCATTAACATAAACAGCAAGTATAACAAACTCTGATGCTGTTTTCTTTGTAAAAATACATGGACAAATGCCATCATTTATATAACCTTCATTCATCAATTCAGTGAGGCGATTATACCACATGCGCCCTGATTGTTTTAAATCATACAAAGATTTTTGTAATCTGATTGAGTACATTTCTCGAGACTTTAAATTATATGCTTCAAGCATTTTAAATCCTTCAGAGATTTTTACATAAATTTGATCAAATAAGTCATATAGGTTATGACTTGCATCTAAATGGCATGACATCTTCAGCTGTCTGGACTACAGGTCTAATCCTCACAATATTGTGCACTATATTGTATCAAATATATCGTCGACGATCAGTTTGTATCGGTTCTTAAGCGACATAACTTGTTGAGATCTCATCACTTTCTTTATTTTCAGGTACATGAACTTCTTCTGGAGTTTCATGAAATGTTATGTCTTGGGATCTTCTAGAGCTCATTTCCTCCTTATTATAATCATTTTGATCCTATCCTTTTCAAGGGTTATTACCTTTGGAACCGATCTGTTTACTACGCTTCATGCGTACAGTAAACTTTATCCTTCAGGGACTTTAATTTTAATAGGAGCATTTGCAGCTGAAATATGATATTTAATTTTGGATCAGCAAATGCTTTTGGTATTTGACTTGAATTATGTTCTAAGTGAGGATCATATTAATGATAATTCGATTCAAATAGCATATTTTTCAGCTGTTTATTCCATCCCCAAATAGTAGAAAAACTAACTCATATCCCCAATCTTCTTTGAGAAACCTATCTTTCTGTATTGTGGTAGAGAAATTAATCATATACCACACATCAAAAGTTATTAAATAGTAAAAATATTTGGTTTCTGATCCTAAACCAATTGTGAGGGGAGGACTTATCATATTTTATTAGTCTGATGCATACAAGTGCTGCTGTATGCAATTTAGAAAATCTTAGACCAACACATGAGGCTTTGTTCTCATAAGCAATAATTTAGCCATTAATAGGAGGTATTCAATGCTAAACTAGCTTGTATATAAACCAACATCATCGATATGAACTATCTTGATTTCATAATCTGAAAATTATGCTCTTAATTGAGAAAGGCAATTTCAAATGGCAAACTGCAGGTTGACAATAAACACACATGTAACCATCTCATATATGCATCTATAAGTGGTTCACATGATAGGTGAATGTGCCCATATTCACCTTTTATATATTCCAGAATTCAGGAGTTTTAGTCCCAACTTTAGCTGGTATAATCAATTTATTATGAGAACAAGCAACACAAGAGAATTCTTGAAGAATCTTCTAGTTTTTCAGTATATGCTTATCTGAATTCTCAAATAGCTCATTTAAAAATGACAAATGAAAACTTCAAGTTTATCATGACATGTGCTATCTCTAAGTAAACTTCTGATTTACTATGTCATAAACTTTTGCATCAGTAAACTTCTAATTTACTATGGCTATTTTTGTATCAGTAAATTTCTAGTTTACAGTAGCTACTTTTGCCTCAGTAAAACTTCTGGTTTATTATGACTGCTTTTGCATTAGTAAACTTCTAATTCAGTGTGATACATGATATAGTATAAATTGAAGAATAAGGCGGGTCACTTCTCACATACATATTATTTTACCCTATATGATTGTAGAAACATGAAGATTTTCAATCTTTCAGTCATTTGTAGTCTCAATATGATAGCCATTTGTATTAGTAAACTTCAAGTTTACTACAACATATATTTTGACCATAATCATATAATATGAATGACATATTATTTGTATATAAGCTATTCAAGAGCCTTTATATATTATCCACAATTTAATATTTTTTAGACACTACTAATGTCATGTGTCTTCTAGACAAACAGTTAGCTCTTCAGGAGTTGTTGATACATTTTGTACAATCAATATTGATACATTTTGTACAATCAAATATTGCTCAGATACTTCTGGTATCATGAGAGAAAATCATAATCAAATAAACTATATAAAATAATTATTTAAGCACAAGAAAATACCTCTTCATAATATTTTCCTACTTCAGGAAGAAATTTCAATTGTGTTACTTCTCCAGGAGAAAATTTAAAATACGAAATATTGAGTATATATTTTCTCAATCATATTAACTCTTTTGAAGGTTAATTGTAATATATTTACTTCAAGAGTGTCATGACCCGAACCTGGGGGGCGAGATCGGCACCCAGTGCCTCACCTATCCTTGCGTATCAACTTGCGACTAAGGGACTCTGAACATATAATGTAATACTTTGGCCATGGGACACATTGCAAGACAATTGCGAATGCTGACTAAACATCAATATAAAGTTGGGCCGACAAGGCCGTCATAAATACTACGGTTGGCAAAGCAACAAAATATACATAAAAGGCCTACAAGCCCAACATACTGCACTAACTGATAGGATATGTCTACAAGCCTCTACTGATGGATATACTGTGATCGGAACATGGCCCTGACCTACTCATAGCATATATACATATATACACAAGATGTACATAAAGCTCTAGACCTGGCAACTCCGAAGGGCATGGAGCTTACTGATGGAGCTGAACTCGGACAACACCTAATGAGGAGGTCTACCCATCTATCTGTCTGAACCTGCACGCATGAAATGCAGCGCCCCCAGAAAAGGGAAGTCAGTACGAAATAATGTACCGAGTATGTAAGGCAATATACTGAAAGCTGGAACTGAACTGATAATATAATTACTGAAAGTAACTGAGAGTCAAAGATAATCTAAAGATATACTTACCTGTTGATACTGACTCAACTCTCTCAATATAGTAAATAAAATAGCTGTCCGTCCCTATAAGGCTTGGTATATATACAACTCCTCTGCCGTAGTAGGCTCGCTCATAGGCGCTCAGCCATACTAGGCTCTGTATCTCGGCCAACTGGGCTCGCTCATAGGCGCTCGGCCACAGTAGGCTCGGTATATAACTTACCATCTGATCAGAGGTTGCCCAATAGGGGCCTGCCCATCGATTATAGCTCGATGGTAATGAAAATACTATAATACTGTATATCTAGGCTCTCTACTCTCTTGACTAAAAGAAGACAATACTCAATTAAATATGAAGTCCCGATAAGGAGAATACTGTAATTTATGATACTAGGATAATGTATATAAATTCGGGAATATGAACTTCTCTTTATGCTTCGTTATCAAACAGATGTAATTACGAGATCATGCCAAAATGAAGGAAGGACTTAGCCTTAGCATACCTGGGCCGACTCTCTTGACAATCCCTCTAACACACGTCAATTGCGACAACACATAACGGCGGATCGAAGTAGGGAAAAATCCGTACGATATTCTTGAGAAGGATGCACCGTACTCCCTTATAATTGCAAAATCCCGTTGCTATATTTTCATACGAATTTGTTGAGCATTCATCCATTACTTTTTGTAGTGTAGTATGAACTTGATGAAGTAATTCACATTACTATTGAAAAATCTGATCATTTTAAGTGT